CTCGAAGCAATGAATCAACTAATGTTTAAAATATATATTCTATGTCCCCCAGATTAAAGAGTGGAATAAAGGACCAACTATCAATAGCTACTCTTTCAACACACGGTACCGTAAAGATAATCATATTGACCATAGGTACTCGCCTGGTACCACGATCCGGGAGGAAATGACATTTGGCAAAACCTTATTACAACGATCTACAATAGGTGTGACATCTGAGGCGAATTTTTGGCCAAAAATAGGTTTTCTCCTAATTTTATTTAAGGTTTTTAACGATCAGAAATTCCAGTCCCGGCCAACTGGCGCAGGTTCATGAGCATTCTTTAAGAACAGATACCTTCTGTATTGACTTGGTAACAACTAATATGGAATAGGTCTATACCATCTGAATTAATTTGAATACCTGATTGTAACAAGATACCTTTTAATATAATTCAAATCATTATATGAATAAGTTTTCTATTTTCCTTTGGGATAACTTGATTTGCGAGTTTAGTACGGACATTATAGGCAATTTTACTGCAAGAGAAAAGAGGCAATTATGTTGTAAATTGACAAAGGTAGTCCTTGGATACACTCTAAAGGCTTAAAGTCAGTGGAGAAATCAATGGATGACAGAGGAGAAGCCTGGGCTTTTGGTCTGAGCTCTAGTCAAGACTTTTATGGTATCGTAGGGTGATAATCTTTACTTTCATCTAACAATGTGAACCGGGATCCTACTACCTCGCTTTTGAGAGTAGCATCAAATGATTTTTTTTAATCCCACATGAATCTCACGAGCCATTGTCTCATCATCGAACTTCAAGGGCTTCTCTGACTCTACAGGAAGAGGATCTGAAACACTTATGTCCACTTTTGTAATGGGGGGGTAAGGGATAGGTCAATCTCAGAGCGGTCTCTCTCTCTTATATGGTCAACCTTTTATCAACATTACCTATTTAGCACGGAGCAAGAAGTGATGGGAGCTAGTATGGCTTCAACCAACCTGTGAGCCATTTTAGGACCTAATGGAACAACGGATGGTAGAAAAGTGTCCCCGTACGGCGCCAATAGTTCTGAACCGTATAGCAAGAGGAAATAGTTTCTTAAGGTTAGGGAACAACTTATCAGTAATCGACTATACATGTGACATCCAGTGTCTCATAAAATGGATAGATACATTAAGTCCATTAACTGTTTCCATGAACAGAAGGTGCTTGGTACATTACAGTACTTTAAAACATCTTCCAACTTTTTGGACCTTTCTTAGAAGGACAATCTGGATGTTTATGTCCCTTAACACCACACAAATGACAAACAGGAATAAAAGAAGTCATTTTAACTTTTCCACTAGAGGCTTTGTATTTCTTAAGGTACTGATGAACCCTTGCACCTTAGGGTTACAATCCCTTTAGGTCTTATATAGGAATGTGAGCCTCAAGCATACAGGTCAGCATCCTAGCAACTTCCTCAGCTTATCAGGTTAACGTTCTCTAATGAATGTTCGTATCTGGTGAGAAGAGCTGTCAGGAACTGGTCAGCAACCAGAAGTCTCTAAAGAGATTCATAACTGTGATCAATTCCTGAACTCCTCTATCCAAAAGTCGACAAAAACGAAAGAGTGTTACCTGTAATTGCTTAAAGTTCTGGCCAGGCTGTAAGGTGGCATACCCTGAAAATCTTACCAGTAAGAATTAGTGTTTTTTTGATACCTTTTTTAAAGGATTCCCTTCTTCATAGGTTTAATTACATATAATATCCTCGACAAAGTGCATAGATATCAAAGCAGTACCTAGAAATAAACATCCTAACCGTACCCAGGTTCCAGCAAGCCATTCACAGAGGGTAGCGGTATTTTCAAACCTGATTAATGTATGAAGTTATGTCTTCCCCCTCTGTGAAGGGAGGTAAATTAGGAGTTGGAATATGTGCACTAGTGCATATGTTGCCAGTCACACACCCTTCCTCTATTGGTGTTTGTGTCAAAGTTAAAACTTTTTAAATTCCTAACTTCAAGGCAAGATTTTTCGAGTTCGCGATCCCTTTTCTCTCACTTATTAACTCAAGTTCTCTAGCTTTTTTTTTTCCTCACCTTCTCTATCCTTTGCACTCTTATCCTCATTCTACTTAATTTAAAACCTGATTCCTCAACTGTATCTTACAGCTTCGTCTCACAGTATTTTAGCTTGTTCCTCACTGTTCTCTAGCTCTTTCTTCACGATCAAGTCTATCAACAGCTCCTTTTTGTCTTCTCCTTGTCCTCTTTCTAACTGTCTTTCTTGGAGTTCTATATCTCAATTCTCTCCTCTCTCTCTCATCCTTTTTTCTCCTTCTTTCACAAGGTTCTCTTTCTTTCTCCTTTTTCTCTTCTCTTCGATTCTCTCTCTCTCCTTTATTCTTCACATCTCTTTCCCTTTTCTAACTGTCTTTCTTCTTCTCTCAATTTCTCTCTTTCAAGTCTTTTCCTGGATCTTACACTAATTGAAAGATTCTAAAAAATTTTTTCCCGGTATTCCCTAACTTACTTCCAGCGTTCATACCCAAACTGGTATTCCTCCATGCTCTAGCAAGAATAACTTAAAAACATCATGGAAATGAAACGGGGTATAAGAAAATTGAGGGTTCAGTTTCTGCTCCATCCAAGACTGTAAGTTAAACCAAGGGCTCATCCCTGCTATCAATAAAACAATATGTATTAATGTAAAACGAAGGTTCTATGCCGGCTCCGAGCAAACAGATAAGTAGAATGGGGGTCCCACTTCTGACCCATTCCAATCTTCTCACATTCAAACAAATCAAGAGTGTCCTATGACAGTTTTTCCCTGATATAATAAAGACTCAATTACAAACAAATTCACTGGAAATCTCGGGCACCCTAGACGTCTAATCCTCCAAAGTGGTTTCAAGCTCACAACAAAAATAGGTGGCAGAATTACTAGCTAATTACCTGCCTTGACTTGACTTACAATAAATATGAGAACCTACATAAAAACCAACTCACCAAATCTTTAAATACTGCTACTTAAGTCCCTACCATAGAGAATATTACTTCACGGCTGTGGTAACCGTCTGTGATATGCGTCGTTGAACGTTCAATGGTAGTTTCCGAGAATCTTGCTTCAAGTAGAGTTGATCCTTGCAATGTCGCCACTTGTGAAGCTTACTCAGCCTGTAACAACTTCAGTCAGTAATACTAAGGCTGGCTCCTCCTCAGGAAAATTAATGTATAGAAAAAGTATAAAAACTGACAAACATGAACACTTTATTATTTAGAAAATATAAAATATAAAACACTTAAATATGAAGTATTAATCCTACATTAAAGAGAATGAAAAATGAAAAATATAAATGATAACTGAATTCAACGCTAACATAAATGTATATAAAACGTGGGTGTCTGGTGTTGGTGACACTGCGTGTTATTGAAATCGTAGCTGTTGCTGATGATGGGGGGGGGGGGTCGCAGGTGTTGATGACAACCCACCGGCTCGTTCTTCACATATTTTCTAGCTTTCAATAATCCTTCCAGATGACAGGAAAGCAGGTTTTCTCCACTGCAGTGATGAGGGGTTATATCCTGCTACTTGCATACACAAACAGGTAAGTGGATCAAAATTCGGGACATCTCAGAACGTTAGTCCGTCTCCTTCAATTCTACTCGTTGATTGGCAGGTGACCCTCTCTGTCATCCAAGCTGGAAAGATAGACAGGTTACCCACTGCTTAAGAAATCTCTCTCCATGATAAGTACAATACCTAAAAGATGTGGTGATTATTACAACAGTCAACTTAGAGCAAGGCTGAAAGGACTAAGTTTGTTATTGGTCAGAAGTGAAGCTTTCAACCAATAAATCTACTAGAATACAAGGCAGGCATGTACTTACAGCAGTGCTGGGGGCTGTGAGTCTAGTGATTACTGTTTGGACCAGAGCCCCACACGTCACCTTTCGGGGGGGGGGGAAGGAGGGGAAGGGATAGCGGGAGCTAGACTGACCCTACCTTAACAAGCAGCCGGCAATCAAACTATCACTTTCGGGGTGGGGGCAAAAAAAAAGGCGGGAATAGTGGGAGCTAGACTTGCCTTACCTTAACAAGTAGCCGGCAAGCAAACTATCACTTTCGGGGAGGGGGAAAAAGGGGGGGGATAGCGGGAGCTGGACTTACCCTACCTTAACAAGTAGCCGGCAATGAAACTATTGTTACTATATCGCTACTCCTATCGAACTTTTCCCTCACAATCTGCAACATGTTCTATGACAAAACTTTGTCTCATTTTAGGGCAATCTTAAAGAGATGCCAGAAACAGCATTCTGGATGGTTATTTTGTGCAACAGGGGTCCAGTGACTTTCAAACTGGTCCTAGTGGCATTAAAAGTCACTCTCTGGGGTTACTTCCCTTCTTTATCTTTTAATCTTTAAAAAATGCATTTTTTGTGAATATTTTTGGTGTCTGGAACGGATTAATTGTATTTACATTAATTCTTATGGGAAATAGTATTGCTTCGAATTTACGCCATTTCGAGTTTAGGCCAACCTTCTGGAACGAATTACGGCCGAAAAACTAGATTCTACTTTATATTCACCACTCGCTATAAGCCAAGAATGAAAATGTTTTAAGTAATGTGTGTAATGTATAGGCAATTTTCTTAGGCCTAACTATATTGCTTGCCTAATATATGTTAGTGTAAGCATGTTATCAGGCTTTTATATGCCTTTGAGAGTGAAAAAAGCTGTGATTCACTATACAGCAGTAGACTGCAACCTAACCTGCTGTATAAGTGGGATCCTCCTGTATAAATTTTAGGATTAGTTTGCTTGAAATTCATTGCATTTTAGATTTTTTTTTTCTTGTGCATGCACATGTATTAGAATATCAAAAAATTTACTAAAGTACTCTACTGCATGCCAGGGTTACGTCCAAATGAACTTTAAGTCCAGCCATTGTAAATTCTACATATGCTTCTTAGAAATTTTGATTTTGATTTGATATTTTTTTTGAAGTACTGTACATTATTTTTGCAGTGTGTGGTGTAAGTGTTGGTGTTATGAAGGATGGAATCTGAACGCTTCTCCAGCCCTCTGGAATCAGTCTTCCTTACAGGTATGTTGTTGATGTTCTTGTTGTTAACCAGAGTGCCATGATGATGCTCAGGTTCTAGTGGACTAGAACTCCTATCCCCTTCCTTGAAGCTGACCAGATTGTGCCACTTAACTCAAGCATTGTTTGACTCCTACGGGTTTAGCACTGCCCCAGGAATGTGATGATAATTCAGTGTTGTACTGTTGTAATTTCTGTTGCTACTCATTTATCTATAGAAAACTTTTCTTGTCTTGTGTTATATCAGTACAGTCAGTTGGGGCAGTTGAGACCAAAAATATCAAGTTATTCACATGATAACAAATAAAATGTTCAGTTTATTTGAAAGAATGAATGTGACATTGGAAGGAGGGAGTGAATGTGTTCAGATATTTGGGAGTGGACTTGTCAGCAGATGGGTCGGTGAAAAATGAGGTGAAACATAAGATTTGATGAGAAAAAGGCGAGTGGTGCATTGCGGTATCTAGAGAGAGAAAGAATGTTATCCATGAAGGCAAAGAAGGGAATGTATGAGAGTATAGGTGTGATGCATGGGTTGTGAATGTTGCAACAAGAAGGCTGGAGGCAATGGAAATGTCATGTCTGAGGGCAATGTGTGGTGTAAATATTTTGTAAGAGACTTTGTAGCTTGGAGATTAGGTGGTGATGGGTTACTAAAAGTATTATCCAGAGGGCTGAGGAGGGGGTTGTTGAGGTGGTTTCACATTTAACCCTTTCAGGGTCGGCAGGCCTTCTCCTAAACTTGTTCTCAGGGTCAGAAATTTTTCGAAAAAAAAAAAATGATTTTTTTCTTATGAAATGATAGAGAATTTTTTCCTGATCATAATGACACCAAAAGTATGAAATTTGATGGAAAACTTACGGAATTATGCTTTCGCGAAGTTAGCGGTCTCAACGATGTTTATGCATTGGCGATTTCGCCCATTTTGAGCCCTATTTTTGGCCAATTCCAATCTACCAGTCGACAAAAATCATAACTATTTCGCTAGAGCTCCATTTTTTTTTATCGAATGAGTACAAGAAACCACCCATTTACCAATTTCAACTATCTAATAAAGATGCCAATTTCCAAATAGGGTCCAGAATATACAAGACAGACATTCCTGGCACTAAAATAGCATTTCCTCTGGTCATTAGTCACGTCTCAAGGCCCCTCTTATATTCTTTTGCTTTCCACTTTGAATTTTTATTCTCACAAAAACTAGAAGATTTACTGTTATGCAGACTACTGCATTAGTGTAGAAATGGTCTAAATAATATCAGCGCACTTGTGAAAGAATATTAGACTTGCCAGTTGACGTGTTTTGGATGCTTGGCCTGATTTATTTACTTTTGAACTTTGTCAAAAATCGAACATTTATGCTACTTTGAGTTCAATTTCAAGGCACTTTTCATTGTGAAACCAATAAAAATCATCTCAATTTCCATAATATGTCTTCCATTCTATAAAATGAGACCAGGAAAACTAGAATACAACTATAAATAGCATACGAAAATACATTGCAAAGTCGCTGTTGTAAACCAAAAACATGGCCGGAGTTTTTTTTTTTTCATTATGCACTGTGTGCTGCAGGATTTTTTTTATATTGCGCATACTGACCACATAGACCCATTCTTTCATATGTAGGCCCAGTAGCTTTCTCTCACTACATTTAAAGGCGCTAGAATTTATGCATACTGGTACGGCGCCAACCCTGGTATGCAAGCCGTACTAGTACGGCACCAACCCTGAAAGGGTTAAGAGAGGATGGAGTAAAATAAAATGACTTGGAGGATGTATAAATCTGTAGTGGAGGGAAGGCAGGGTAGGGGTCATTCTAGGAAAGATTGCAGGGAGGGGGTAGAGGAAGTTTTTTTTGTGTGAGGGGCTTGCACATCCAGCAAGTTTGTGTGAGAGTGTTAGATAGAAGTGTGTGGAGGCAAATGGATTTTATGAATTGAGGTGCTGTTTGAGTGTGAGCAAGGTAACATTTATGAAGGGATTCAGAGAACCAGTTAGCCAGACTTGAGTCATGGAGGTGGGAAGTACAGTGCTTGCATTCTGAAGGAGGGGTGGAGATATTTTCAGTTTTCAAATGTAATACAGGTTGGCTTTCACTAATCTGGCAATCAGTATTCCGGTTCCATCAATAATCCAGCACTAATTTTGGGTAACATAAATTCAAATTTCTGGGGTCGCCAAACCAGCCTGCCGCTATTTGCTGCATAAGTTATTCCAATTTCTTCTTCTCCATTTATTGTTATAACCTCCTCACTTTTAGCCCTAGCCATGGTTCCAACAAGTAAAAGAAATACAGTGGACCCTCGACTAACGATATTAATTGGTACCCGAGAACGAATATCGTTAGTCGAGTTTTTTTAGCGTTAGTCGACGCAAAATGTTAGCGTTAAAATGTATCGCTAGTCGAATTTAATGTTATACGATGCTATCGTTGGTCGAGGGTCCACTGTACTTCTCGTCGTGTAAAGCACACACACCGTACATTGTCCATGAAAGATAAGGCAGCTTTGAAGCCACTGTTAGTTGCCATGAGCTCAGCTCACTCAGATAAGCTGTGACTGGTAAATTTGGGCCTACATATTAGAGAATAGGTCTGTGTGGTAAGTGTACACTATATAAAAAAAATCATGCAGCATGCAGTACATGGAAAAAACTACGACTGTGTTTTTGGTGTAAAATGGCGACTTTGTGGTGTATTTTCGTATGGTTTTTATGGCTAGATTCTCGTTTTGTAGCCTCATTTGATAGAATGGAAGATATATTACAGAAATAGAGATGGTTTTGCTTGGTTACACAATGGAAAGTACCTTGAAATTGAGTTCAAAGTAGTGGAAATGTTTGATTTTTGCTGATGCTCAGGAGTAAACAAATGTCACCATCTAATACATGTCCAACTGACTGGTCTAATACACAGTTACAAATGGGGTGACATTATTTTACAATTATTTCAATAATGCAGTAGTCAGCATCACAATAAATCTTCTAGTTTTGTGTGAATAAAAATTGAAAATGGAAGCAAGTGTAATATAAGAGGGGCCTGGAGATGTGACTAATGAACAGAGAAACTTATATTTTATTGCCAGGAATGTCTGCACTGTTTATTCTGGACCCTATTTTGAAATTAGTATCTCTGGAAATTTGTGTGAAAATGGCCAAATTATCAATTTCTGACCACTTTATTGGGCAGTTGAAATAGGTAAATGGGCAGTTTCTTGTAGTCAGTCGATAGAATAGAAGGAATACTAGTGAAATAGTGTGAGCAAAGTAACATTTATGAAGGGGTTCAGGGAAACCGGCAGGCCGGACTTGAGTCCTGGAGATGGGAAGTACAGTGCCTGCACTCTGAAGGAGGGGTGTTAATGTTGCAGTTTAAAAACTGTAGTGTAAAGCACCCTTCTGGCAAGACAGTGATGGAGTGAATGATGGTGAAAGTTTTTCTTTTTCGGGCCACCCTGCCTTGGTGGGAATCGGCCAGTGTGATAATAAAAAAAATAATAACTAGTGAAATAGCTGTGAGTTTGGTAGACTGGAATAATGGAATGGGCCAAAAATAGGGCGTAAAGTGGGTGAAATCGCTGATGCGTAAATACTGCCATTAGGTTAAGTATATTCTAACCTAACCATTCTGTAATCCAGCAAAATCATTAATCTGTCACTCTACAGGTCCAGATGATGCCGAATTAGTGATGGTGCCCTCTGGCAAGACAGTGGTGGATTGAGTGGGGGTGAAAGTGGGAGATGATCAGATTGTTGAAGATAATAATAATAATAATAATAATAATAATAATAATAATAATAATAATAATAATAATAATAATATAAAAGTACAGTGGACCCCCGGTTTACGATCAGCTCCCGATGCGACCAATTATGTAAGTGTATTTATGTAAGTGCGTTTGTATGTGTATGTTTGGGGGTCTGAAATGGACTAATCTAATTCACAATATTCCTTATGGGAACAAATTCGGTCAGTACTGGCACCTGAACATACTTCTGGAATGAAATAATATCGTAAACCGGGGATCCACTGTAATATGAAACATTAAAATGTGGCTTGCATAATGATATGACTAATTATAGCTTCCATATTTCCATTGAGAGAGGAGGGAGAGAGAAGGGGGAAGAGAGAGAGAGAAGGGGGAGAGAAAGGAGAGACAGAGAGAGAGAGAGAGACAGGGGGAGAGAGAGAAAGGGGGGAGAGAGAAAGAGAGAGAGAAAGAGACAGGGGGAGAGAAGAGAGAGAAGAGAGAGAAGGGGGAGAGAGAGAGAAGGGGAGAGAGAAAGGGGAGAGAGAGAGAGAAGGGGAAAGAGAGAGAGAGAGAGAAGGGGGAGAGAGAGAAGGAGGAGAGAGAGAGAAGGGGAGGAGAGAGAGAGAGAGAGAAGGGGGAGAGAGAGGGGGGGGAGGATACCACCACCACCCACCCTCTCTCTCCTGTGAACTTCATTGCAAACCTACAACGCCTCTTCTGGGATGACTTAACATCGCAAAATAGCAAGAATATCTACGCTATCTGGCTATTGTCCCAGTAGTTACTGCAGTGTTTGTGGGTATACCACAAGGGACAAAATACTTCTTAGATGTAAGGAGCCTACTTGTTCCAACTACTGCCATACAGATTGCATTCCAGAAGAAGAATTTTGTTGCAGCCAGGTTTAAAATTTCAGAAAATTGAAGGATATCCATAATCCTGTGGTATATGTGGATACAAGCCTGGAACTACAAGAGGAGGTTCAGAAGTACTACCTCAGGGACTCCTGTCCAAAGATCAAGACTGCCCTCATGGGCTGTGTTGTAAAGTCACAGCTAAGATAATCCATCACAGGGAAGCACTTCATGAGCTCCTCAAATCATTAGATAACCTTCAAGCTATTGTAGAAGGCCAGTGCAAGCCTGCATCAAGTGACGTAAGCTGCTCAGCTGATGGTGACACTATTGACAAAGACTGGAAGTCCCACACTGAGCTTAACTTAGGGGTAAATAACTGGTGGAATTCTGTCATCG